ATCCACTCCTTGTGACTTACGATTTCCAATGAAACTTTATTGTTCTTTGTTTTTACTATTCCTTTGTCTTACACCTCTGTTTACTGTCTCTAATATGCATTTCTTCTACTTTCTTCTCTTGCTTTGTGTGCTACTTGGAATGTGGCGACTCGAACTGCCGCACATATCGGTGCAAAGTTCTATGTCGAAAACAGACAGAAAGACAGACAGATACGATCATGCAGTTCCAAGTTAAATATTAGTGTAGAAGTTGGGCACTGTATTAGAATGTAATTCCATATTAGATAAGTTTATTTCAAAAATTGCACTGTCAGTGATACAGTATTAACAACCGGATGACAAGGTGTCGAGCATAAATTATTGCTGCTCATAATCATATCAATTTTAGTCATACGGTTTCGCAATTTGTCTGTTATATGTATATTTTCTCTCTTTCTGTCTCTCTAACTTCCCTTTGTTGTTTGTTGCCACTCTCCATATCTCCAGTACAGGCGTTGCGTCATTCCAATTGAATCCATAAACAAAGCTTCAGCCTGAATGATGCTGGAATCAGGGTGGCATTTAAACCAACCAACCAACCAACCAAGCCTCTCAGAGATACACTTTGTCGCTCAATAGATCCAATTAAGAAAAATAATCTAATTTACCAAATACCATGTAATGCCGACTGAGAGGTCAATTACATAGGTCAGTTAAACTAGTAGATTGGGACATAGAAATTTAGCCAGCTAGACCTAGAATAATTGACCCTACTAAGTTAAATAAAATAGAAAAAAGCAGAGCTCAGCCATTGCACTGCATTGCATTCACTTGCATGTAAACACACACACACAGTAGGGTGAAAGTGGGACAGGTTGAGAGTATTAAAAAGTAATGTATTTGGGTAGAGAGACAAAGGTTCATCACTGAAGCTCTGTGTTTATCGATTTAACCCCTCACACATGCAATCAAAGAAATCATGCAGCGCCTATACCGGAAGTATGGAGAGTGGCAACAAACAATGAAAAGAAGTTGGAGAGACAGATTTATTTATTATTATTATTGTTCCCTTGGGTTCCTAGTGGAACATAGGGCTTTAACTACACGTCTCCACTTGCTTCTGTCTTCTTCTGTACTTTTCACCTGTATCCATTTTAGTCCATACTGTTTCAACTCCTCTTCACACGATCTCCTCCATGTCACCCTTGGACGTCCCACTCACCGCTTCCCTTTCGAGTTCCACTCGAGCAATGGCCTGACGCGCGATGTCACCCAACGGCCTCCTCAGCGAGTATCCCATTCATCTCCTCTTTCTCCTGCAGGGAGAGACACAATAGAGAGAATATATATACATAAGACAACTTGTGAAACCGTGTAACTAAAATTGTGATATGATATTACGCTCGAAACCTTGTCATCCAGTTATTAATACTGTATCATTCATTTTGTGTGATATTTTAAATAAACTTATCTAGGTATGGAATTCCAAGTCAAATAATTGAATTATATAAAACCTTTTTTGTTTGTTTGTTTGTGTTAATTTAAATGTTAGAAAAAGTGTTGTTAGTTTACACAATACAAACAGATAAACAATAGAAATTCAACAGTTATACTGCTGTTTCTGTTTTATAAGTGAGAATAAATTTCCAATGAAACTACTGTACAATCTAATAACAATAATAATTATATTGGTTATAGGATTTGATCATGAGCCGACGTCAGTTTGAGAACTATTGGAAAACCAGCTGGAAGTACTGAACAGCCAACTGTTTCCTCAGCCTGGTATGGGACTCTTCATCAGTACGCACCCACCCACCAGAGGGGTTCGAACCCAGAGCCTTCTGGTTACATGGCGAGTTTGTAGACCATTCGGACACTGCGCCCCGCCAATCCAATGCCCAGTCCATGAATTCCAGTTTATGCCAATTCACAATATAACGTGACTGATACCAGCCAATGTCATCACCGTTGGGCATTTGTCCTTATTCCTGACCTGCTGGTGGGAAGTTTTGACCAATAGGGTACAGCAGGGCGGGTGTGAGGAAAAATACTCGACAATGATGACATCGGCTAATGCCAGTCGCACTAAGTCGTGAATTAGAGGAAGTTGGAATTCATAGACTAGGTATTGGATTGGCGGGGCGCGGTGTCTGAATGGTCTACAAACTCGCCTTGTGACCAGAAGGTTCTGGGTTCGAACCCCCTGGTGAGTGGGTGCGCACTGATGAAGAGTTCAAAACTATGACGAAACAACTGGCTATCCAGTACTCCCGGCTGCCTTTCCGATACCAGCTCATGGTGAAATCTTGTATTCAATCAAAACATAGACATGATACATTCTGGGCATCAGCAGATGCTCTACATGAAACCTCACAGTTTAAGAGAGGGATGAGATACAGCCAGTACGCCCAAACAGAAGTAGTTAATTTGTATTAACGAATCACCACTCCCCTTCCGAGCCTTTGAGTTGAAGCGTCTGATGCACAAGGCAGTAGAGCAGGTCACCAGCTACGTTTCCATGGTTTCTGGTAGCCAAAATATATTCACATCCTATTCGATCCTTTTGGATTCTAGTGCTCATATACACCACTAGTTCAAAATTAGGGTTTTCCAGCCCCTCTGCATGGCCTCCAGACGTTTGGATTCGCCATTTCACTCTTTTTGAGGGATACTCCGGTCGCGTGAAGACAGCGAATAGGAATTTTGTGGCACAGGCTATGAATGCATGGTCATATGAGAGCATTTCAAGTAGAAGAATTCAGTCTATCCACCCTTGGTCTTACCTGGTCATTGGTGGGGAGCATTATATATATATATATATATATATATATAGGATTCAGGTTTTTCTTCCACTCAACTTTACCTATAAATTCGTTTATTGCACATGTCAATGTAAATTTCGTCCTGGACTGACATAAATTAGAGAAATTTTGTGAAAACCAAGGAGCACTGAGCAGCTGTTTCATCTTAGTTTGGAACTCCCCATCAGCCCACCAGGGAATAAAGCATAGAATCTTCAGGTTAAAACGCCACTCCGTCGATCATTCAGTTATTTGCTTGATCTTCATTGGCACGTGAATTGCAGTTTCTATCAATTTGGTTATATACAGCTTACCGGTAGCCAATACTCAATCGACGGGGAGCTGGTTCACCGTGACACAGTGTTCTTCACACTGACCTTGACTGACTACTCATTGTGAAATTGGAGGACATCTCTTATCCTATAGGCAATAATGAGTCATTCAATGCCGAGCCAGTTGTCTGAATAGTTAAGTCATTAGGCTAGCTAGTCTTGTAACCTGTAAATAATTCTCTCAAGCTAGCATTGTCGTAGAATATTGTCTTTATCGTAGAATTTTTGAATTAGGATTGTAATTCCAGACTCTGTTGAATTGTTTTCGTCTTATATTTGTATTGGCATACAGTTGTTCTTTAACTTGGAATTCATCCGTGAAGTCATCATAAAACTGTCATTACTTTTCTACTTAAGTGTTTAGAAGATTTAAGTGTAAATTATGGCTCATGACGCAATTACTTGATTACAAGTGAATATGATTAGGACAAAACAGTTGTCCAGTGTACTGCTTTATTGTTATGGCTTCTCTGATTGAGGTCAATTGTCGTGATGATGAAAATTGTCATGTAATTAAGAGATCTTCTAGGGAATTGTGTGCGTCGGTGGTACAGCGGTAGGACGCTCGCCAACCATGCATGTGGTCTTGTGGTTCAATCCCCGGCTGGCGCACTTGTAAACCTCGCTAAGCCGGCAATAAGACTGGTAAAGAGGAGAGGTTTGCCATGAGGCTAGCAATCCCACCCCGTAAAAATGAAACCACTGCTATTGAAACTTCAAGCCTCTAGCTTGAAGTCCCATGTACCACCACTGGGAACGTAAAGGAACATAATAAGTAAGAAGATAAATATGGAACTGCAGTATCATAAGGTGGTCTTCCTCAGTACGATTTTTGTCTTGAGTTTGATCCTGGATTGATATCAGTTAGAGAAACATCGAAAATCAGGAAGTACTGTACAACTGTTTCTTCCTGGCTCGGGACTGTTCATCAGTACTCACCCATGACCGCACAGCGCAAGAATCGAACCCGGGATATTCAGTTTGAGGTCAGCTTTGGTGAGCATTAAACCACAGGAACAGAATTCGATATCCCATGAATTCTAACTTCTACCAATTCGTGATACATACATAATGTAACCATCAGCGTATTTTATGGGTCAAGTATTTGTCCTCACTCCCCCCCCTCACCACCACTGGTCACGACTTCTCACTTCATCCTGTATTCATTCGTAATTGATTCCCAAGTGTTAGTTTGTAGACTAACGAGCCCGCCTCCTAACCTGAAGGCCTTCGGTGGGATCATGTGTACATACCGCTGAAAAGTCCCAAACTGGGACGAAACAGCTTCCCAGTACTCCTTAGTTCTCAATAGTTCTCTGACTGAAATCAGCACGTGGTATTAAAGCTTCTGTAAAAATTTGACCTTCCTAAGTTTAATTTTCGTCTCAAGTTTTGGGACCGAAACCAGAACCTTCAGGTTACAAGAAGATCTCGTTGGACCAATCAGCCACTTGGGCGGAATCTAACAGTCGACAAATTCTAACTTCTGCCGATAAGGAATATTAACTCAACTGCAAGTCATTGGTGTCATTAGTGTGTGTATTTGTCCGGACACCCAACCTACTGTGGAACCCATTGGCTAAGGTTAATTTTCGTTTCAAGTTTGGCCACGGATTGATATCAGTTGGAGAGAACCGTCGGAAATCCAGGGCGTAGTGAACATTTGTTTCGTCCTAGTTTGGTACTGTTTAGCAGTACACATAGCATCCATGACCTCACTGAGTGGGGAGGGGTGATAAGAACATCGGTTAATATTCTGATTAGCAATAGTTCTCCCAGTGTGTACAAATATCATGTTGTCGTGCCCTTTTTTTTAAAAAAATATATCATCTTTTCCGTTGTAATTCTGTTTTATCCTTTATCTTCTTTCAACATCCATCATTTATAGGTATTCTTTGTATATATGCTTTAATATTGGTTCTTATATGTCGCGCCATGATTTCTGCTAGTCTAAAAGAAAATGTTGGCAGTTCAGATGTTGTAGTCGTGTAAGTGACCACTATCTGTTTTTCTTTAAAGAATTTTATTTTATTTTTTTATATGGCGTATTTTCAATGCCAGAGAGAGAGAGAGTATATTGTGCCTAGGATTCGCCTAAGGAGGAAGCTTTGAACACATACGAATTTGTCAACCAATTACAGCCGCATTGATTCCTTATTTTGTTTGAAATCAATCTCTCAGAATCTAAGTCTTTCATGTACACTGGGATAGGCTATCAGCGAAAGTTATTGTGTGTGTGTGTGTGAAAGGAGGGCTTGTGACACTACTCAAATTGTGTCCAGGTGGAAGAAAGTCTATGAAACGGCTGAATTCGATCCTTGGAACGACGACCTACTTACACACTAAAAGTCAAATACTCAAGCCCTTTATAGGCCACGTCTTCATGACCGCCGATTCTAAACTCAATAAAATCTTACAATTAATGAGTAACAAAATCGAAAAATAAGGTAATAAAATGAACTTGAGAGAAGTGGACTTGCATTTATTACTATTGTTCTCTCCGGTTCCAAATCGTACATGCTGGCTTTGACACTCTTTTCTCTGCAGCCTTTTCTAGCTCTGGCTGGCTCCATGATTGCCTGCAGATTTCGCATCTCCTCCACGTCACCCTCGGATGCGCTCCCCCCAACTCAGGTTACACGCAGGTTTACCAACAGGCCACTGCAGACTTTCACCAATAGCTGTGTTCGCTCCATACTGAAGATGACCAAAAAGGTTTAGCAACATAGAACTGTGTAAACGAACCAGCCAAGAGCTTATTGTCCAACAGAAATATCGTAGAAAATGGAGGTGGATCGGACACATGTTGTGGAGACCGTTGACTGACATTACGTACCAGGCACCCTCGAGTGAAGCCCCAATGGGGGAAGACGAGTCGTGTATTGGAAGGTGACATCGAGGAAGATAAGCCATTATTGGTTATCGTGGAGTGAACTAAGGACAACTTCAGAAGGCAGAATGAAATGGAGATGTTCTGTTGAAGCCCTATATTTCCACTGGGAACCCTAGGGGAATGATAATAGTGTTCATATAAGGAGGTACCGACGGCATGTGCGTATGGAAAGGCCTGAAGTCTACAAATATACAGCAGTTTTCTATCACTTTATATGAAAGTTACAAGTTAAGTGGTTTTAACATTTTTAATATAAATATATATGATCAAGTGTTTATGCATTCATTCAACACGTTGTCTGTAAAATGGCTATCTTTTTTTCGATTTCTTCTTCTTCTTCACCGTTGCTGCCTTTTAGAGCTCATACATTTGTTCTTGTTGCCATATGCTGCCTTTTTGGATTGTTTATCTTAGCTATTCTATCCGATCAGGTAATTAACTTTATATATAATAATTAACATTATTGCTCATTGTTTTTGCAGTCCTCATTGAAAAGAAGCTTTTTCCTTTGTGTGACTATCTTTTGCCGTTGTCTTGGAGAGTTAACTGATATGCTTTCCTCTGAAATTGTCATCTAATCTGGAATCTTGTCTTTTGACTACTGTTCCAATCAAAAGCTGCCAACTTGACGTCGTGGTGGCGGTCGGGTTTGCATTATCGTCAGTAATGATCCAACAAGCTACACTGGTTGGTCCTATCATGCCAGAAAGATTGTTTGGATAGCTGATCACTATTTTGGGGGGTTCGAGTAGAAAGTCGTATTGTTTACGGGAAGGGATATCTGTAACAACAACAGTAAGGTGTTTGCCTGAAATGATTAACAAGGCAGCTATGCTACCTTTCCGCTCTGGAGACAATGGGTGAAGTGATTAGAAAAGTTCGACCTCGAACCCGACTTACCTTTTTCCAACGGTGTTTAACCGATGGTATGATCATAATACCAATGCAATTCCACAAAGAACCCACTTTAAACGGAGTCGTGTATGACATCTAGCTTCAAGCAATTGTCCCTTGGACTCTACAGTAGTAACGCAACTTTAATGGTCTTTCTGTTTCAGCTACCCTAAGTCATATAAGAATAGAACTTGAGCATTGTGGTAGAGTATAATTCCATTATGGAGTAGATTTACTTGGTAAAGTGGCACAGTTTTAATTACTGATACCGTTTCGAACACATTTTATTGCTCATAATCATATCAAGGTGCAGCACAGCATCAGCGTTTCGTCTATCTCTGTTTAGTATCAATATTATCTCTTAAGATAGGCCAATCCAGAGAACAGAGGACATAAAAACATCAAATAGCATATTTGTCTCTCTGACCTGCTTAAACATATGTTAGTTTGTTGTGGAGGCAGTCGGTAGGAATGCCTAAGACACTCATTAGCAAGGCGTATCTGCAATGTAGAAGAAACTTATGTCTCTTCCGAGATTCGAAAGTTAGTAACCCAGTACTGTAGTCAGAGACGACGCGACTACTGAGCTATTCGGACTCGCGATTGACCTCCCGCAGGCATTTATCGGATACTTTGTTTGGGTACTATGTGGTAATGGATGTCATGCGTGTCTGGTTCTTCGTTTGGTACAGACCAATACTATCAATGAAGTTTACAGTGTGGAAATGCTGTGCTGACTAGTGCCAACAAGCGTGATGTTCACCTGTTTCTCTTTGTTTACCATTGCGATTGTGTCTGCGTGACCCCATCTCAAAGTGACCCTATGTGGTCCTTCCCACTTTGGAAACTGTTTGCCTGACCCTGTCGCACATTCGTCGGTATTTCGCCTCACACTTTCATATGCTGCTTTCTCCCGACCTCCCAGCAGCGTCCCAAGTAACAGCCTCATCGCGAACAGATCTGGAATGCCACTCAACTGCGCAGAAGCCTCGAAGTCCTGCTCGAAGATCCATATGTCTCCATCGAAAGCTGCAGGGCACAGGCTCTCCATTTGTCGGTAGGCAGCGACACCAAATGTAACAACAGAATGCAAGTGCCAGGCAACATATCGTTTGTTTAGGAAATCAACAGATATTTATCGATTTTCATGTACATTATTGTAGATTATTGTGAGCAGACAAACACAGTCTTCTGATTGGTGGTTTCTCTTTGTCGGCGTTTCTTGAAGTTCAGATTATCTATCTGCAAATTGTATCCGCCTACGCAAAGTCTGCTCTGACTGGTTGTTGAATCAGTCTTTGTTCTTATTTTTCTCACGACCAATATTGGGGACGTAAACATTGACGTAAATTACTGTCTACCAATTTGGCTAGCAGCCAGCTCTCACCACAAAATGATACAACTTAATATGAAGGAAGGTGAGAAGTAGCAGGCACAACACGAAAGATCTGTGCAAATGGTGCGTTAAAGATAGATAAGGTGTACATAATTTGGCTATATAGAGATACCAACAAAACAATTTACTAATAGATGTTAGTAACAAGATATCTAAGTTTTGAAGGAGGGAAGAGGTGAAATTTAATTACGGAACTCAAGATAAGTTAATTCGTAGGGGTTAGCAGCAAGTTATTATTACATAATCAAGAAGTTTGTAAAATAGCAATGATGACTAAGAAGAATAGGATGATGACTCGGTAGAATCAAGTAAAATGCAAACAAGTTCATAGAATGAAGTAAAAGTGTAAAAATTAACAAAGTCAAAAGATAGTTACAAGGGGAAGGGCGAAAATCGTTTTTCAATACTCAATACGTATTATGTAGTAGGTGGCCACGGCAAAGAAAAGGGTTGTACAAATTTCTTTTGAACACTCACAGATTTGGCTTGTTCAGATGAATTCCAACTGTCTCTGCTATATGTAAAAGTCAATCGAACTCGTAGACTATGAGAGAGGTTGGGGGAAATACAATAAATAACTTTAGAAGCTTTGTTATAGCCAACTTGATGTCCATCCATTATTGGCGAGATGAGCTAGTATTGAGCTGCTTATTATAGCCTTATTCATAATTTTGCCAAGCCAATATAGGAGGTGTTCAGAAATTCGACAATGAACGCCCAATGTATCTAGTTCCATACGAGCAGTTCAACTGGTAAATATCCATGGAAGAGGCGAAATAAGGCAGTTTGTCTTTACCTTTTGAACTGAGACACATAAACTTACTAATGAAGGGAATAAAATTCACATTTGAATCGGAAAATGAACAAGGAGAATTAGCCATGATGTTAGATTGTAAAATAAAACGATTAGAAGGTAAACTGCACACTAGCGTTTACAAAAAACCAACTCATTCTAATAGATATTTAGACTTTGATTCGTCTCATCCATTAACTGTTAAGGCAAGCCTAGTTAAGTATCTAAACAACCGAGCAGTAGCAGTAAGTAGTACAAGAAAAGACGTAAATGATGAAATAAAACACATAGAAGAATGGCTGATTGGTGCTAAATAACTATCCAATAAAATTCATTAGGAAGATCAGAAAAGGTCAAAATCAAAATAATGGTGAAACTAATAAGGATAACATAAATAAGAAAGAATATAAGGCATCTACAGTTATATCATACAAGGAGGGGACATCTGAGACCCTACGTAGGATTCTTAATAAAGCAGGAATTAGGGTGGCATTTTAACCTACAAACTCACTCAAATAGGATGAGCTCTGTTGGTTAAAAGATCCTGTAGGTTGACCCAGTTAGACAAATTAATATAATTTAGGGAATCCCCCGCAATGACTGTTAGTGAGGTCAACTAAATAGGTCAAACTAGTAGGTCAGGGGTAGTCAGATTGTCAGAACATAAGGATTTAGGTAAGGTAAGAATGTTTAACCCAGAGAAGATAAGTAATTTAGAAGAAAGCTCAGCAATCGCACTGCATGTATTAACACACAATAAGGTGGGAGAGGGTTAAAATTCTAAAAAATAATCTAGGTAGGTGGAGAGAGTGGTTGATTACTGAATCCTTGTTCATCGAGTCTACACCCAACACATGCAATAGGAATGAATGACTCATCACTCATACCGGAAATACGGAGAATACTGCTTACTACCAATCAAATCGAACGATGGAGAATAATGGAACTATATAAACGAAATTAGGAAGTCGTGTGAGTAGTGCCTTGATATGATTATGAGCGGCAATAAATTGTGCTCGAAACGTCATCAGTAAACATTCGGTCGGTTTACACATATGTGCAGCAGTTCAAGTCGCCACACTTCACTTAGCACACAAAGGAAGAGAAGAAAGTAGGAGAAATGCATAATATAGACAGTAAACAGAGGTGTGAGACAAAGGAATAGTAATAACGAAGAACAAAACAGTTTAATTGGAAATCATGAGTCACAAGGAGTGGATGCATCTGCACCAGCCATCACCGAGAACGATTTTGAGCCATGTCACCAATCGTTTCCAACCATTGGTTTTTACCGTCCCGAAGACCCCAGATAGTCAGGAAGTCTACACCTTCCTACGTGGCTTAGACTAGCTGTTGTAGATTTCATTGATTGGTGCCATGTTTTGGTTTGACCACCGATAGCTCTTTTCCAGCCTGACCCTATATCAGCTAACATTGCCCGTCGAGGAAGGTGATGACTAGGCATACGTAACACATGTCCTAACCATCTCAATCGATGTAATTTCACAGTAAACATTACTGTATAATACTGTAAGACTTCATCAAAACAAATTTTACCCTTAATAGAACTAAACCCTATGTTTCTCTGGGAATGTAAAGGAATAAAAAGAAAGAAAAGAGATACCGGATTGTAAATAAACATTCCTTTGACCAAGTCTTCTGCTTCTCCTACCGTTACAATACTACGTGTAGTCTCCGATCAAAGGTTGAAGGTAATATTGCATTGTTAGACAGTCTCAATCTATAGGAAATAAGGTAATCCTTCAGAATGCTGTATGTTATTTGTCTCATGTTTACTGTGCATGTGTATTCAAGTAATTCAAGTAATATGAATTTCCTTTTTTTATTGTCTTTACCCCCATGCTCTGTGTCTACCATTTCGATGATGCTAGTACAAATCTATAGTTGAGGATACAACAGCTGTTGAAGCTTGGCAGTTACGTGCTCTTTCGCATTCATCAGATACTGAAGCCTGTGCTGCTGGTGGATTTCGACGAAAACTATCCAAGCTGACACTGTTTCGTGAAGTATTTGGAAATGGTTAGTGCATTTTAAAATTTCTTTAGTAGTTGCTGTTATTAACATTGGGATTACACACCGCATACCGATTTGTTTATACTTTCTTGATATCTGATCCATCTTTAATGATTAACTTGTAATTCTTTTGACTGTAATGGCTCCTGCAAAACGAAGTAATCAAGGTTTTCATTGTATATATTGTTATTGTTATTCTCTTGGGTTCCGAGTGGAACATACGTGGGCTTGAACAACACATCTCTACTTTGTTCTATTTTCTGCCGTCCACTTCATCTGGCTGGCTCCACGATCGCCCATAATCTCTTATCTCCTCCTCCTACTCACACGATCTCCATGTCACCCACTCGTCGCTTCCCATTTGGATTCCACTCGATGGCTGGCCTGGCGCTAGCGCGATGTCATTCGATGATTTCCTCAGTGTATGCCCGATCCATCCATCTCCATTTTCTCCTACATATTTGTTGAGCAGTCAGCTGTCACCTGTTGGTTTGTTCTCAACCAGAGTTTCTTGTGACTAATTCTTTCTGACCAGCCGGCTGGCCATTTAATCTTCAGTATGGAGCCAGCCAGCGAATCGGGCAGCTCTTGATAACGCTCAGCAACACCCTGTTGGAAATCCTTCTCGTGACGCAAACGCAGTGCAAGTTTCTGACTCTTATAGAATCACTAACTGACTGACTTCGCAGTTGTGTTGAAAACTCGAATCTCGCTCTTTGTGCTGAGGTGGAGTGCAGAAGATTTCCAGACTGGTTTCAGGTTGATGAAGGCGTATCTTACTTTTCCGATTCTGACTGGATTTGACATCTTCATTCGTTCCGCTTGTAGTTGAAACGATGGTTCCTAGATAAATGAAGGAAGTAACCTCTGTCAAATCCTTCCCATTGATGGTGATTGTTTCTGACTGTTGTTGTTGTTATTGCTGTTGGTTGGTTGGTTATCTTCATCACCTCCGTCTTCTCTATGTTCACCTGGATGTAGTCCTGTCTTCGCTGCTTCTTTAGCTAATTTGTTGGTTTTCGCCTGTAACTCTTCTATTTTGTGTGAATTACATTAACAATAAATAATCAGTGCGCGAAATCCAGAATTGCAAGAGGTCTCTCATCGGTGGTCTAGCGTACTCCTTTCTCTTTGCTCTCCACAGTTCGACGCATAATCCAGTTCATCACAATTCAAAATATCATCGGTGATACTAGGTAAGCAGTCTTGTCTTACTCCTGTATTCACTTCGACGATGTCTCTGAGTTTTCTGTTGTGGATCACCTGACACGTGGCATTGTCATATAGTCAGCTGCTGAACAAGGTTGATAAAGACTTGACCACTGCACGCCGTAGTGTTGAAGTAATTTCCAAATTACTTCTCGGTCAACGCTGTCTGTCGAAGGTCTTTTCGAAGTCGATGAAGTTGAGCAAAGTTCCGGTTTAGTGGATCTTATTGCAACAGCTTCAGATATGTGTAGAAGACGTAAGCGAACTGTACGTGATAACGACTTCGGAATTCGGTATATAACCCTAATAGCTGTGTTGACATCGATGCGATCTCCAGTATCGACCAAATATGACAGGATCGAGCTTTTTATGCCTTTAATTTCCTCCCTGCTGAACCAAACTGGTAAATGTTCTCGAACCCGTAGACGAACCTGCCTAATCGTGCGCCCTATATAACTTGAACCACAGGAACAGTTGAAATGGTATACACATGAAGAAGAGCTAAGGTTAGGTAAGACATCTTTGAGTTGCTGGGTGAACATTGGACGGCTACTGAAGGATAGACACAAACGTGCAGAGTAGAAAGTTTTCTTAATCGTCCTGGTTAAACGTTGCGATAGAATCTCCGCAAGAGTATCTCCCTTGAATTGGAGACGTAAAAACAGAGGCTTTTTCTCTACCGTTGTCAGTTCATGTTTACGACTATTATAACCTATGTTGGCTTTAATGAACTTCTCTGGATATCCGTTCTCGCTTAAAATGTCTCGGATGACCTGGAGTTCTTTCTCTGCACAGTCTTCGGAACAAATAGACCTCGCTCTAAATGCTAAACATCTGATCAGATTACGTTTGTATTTCATCGGTATGAAGCTAAGAAAGTGTGTATACTGAGCTTTGGTCTCTAGCTTTCTAAATGTGGTTCTTTTGACGGAACTATCCTCTCTTCTCGTTAGTAGGACATCAAAGAAGTGTAGAGAGTCTTTGTATTCTCCTTCGCAGGTGAAGTGGACCGCTGCATGAGCATTATTGAAGTTGCTCAAAATCAAATCACTACTTAACCCTTCATCGTACACTACAAACGTGTGATCCATGTAACGACAATACATTTCCAATTTTTGCTATCTCCTCTTTCAACGGACTATTTTCTAGTTTTGCTAGAAATATATTCACGAAAATAGGTCCCAGTGGGGATCCCATGGCTACTCCATCAACCTGTCTGTACATTTCATTATTAATCAAGGACTGAACATTTGTTGTGCATTTATTTTAACGACAACAAATATTATATTTTATAATTGCAAGAACCCGAAGAGAAATTATTGAAAAGAATATTCTTGTCACATGGGAATAATCAATAGAGTTAGCATGCTGCATTTTAATGCATCACATTTTACTATATATAGAATTAGAAGGTCTATATATAAAACAGTATGACTCATTGTGATATGAATAGATTAGATATGTGATTGTATGAATATTTGCAAATCAGCACATAAACCTATTCAAGTGTTGGTTTGCACAGATTTGAGCTCACATCAGTTACAGAAACATTGGAAAACCAGTGCTAGACAGCCAGCTGTTTCATCCCAGCTTAGGACTCTTCATCATTTCGCACCCACCGGGTGTGTCAGCTCATGATGAAGACCCTAACCAATCAAATTCCTGTAAACCAACATTTAAATATTAATCTGGTGCTCACTAACGACTGGCGCTATGCGGGTAGGTGGTTACCTGGTTTCTAGTGGGAAGCTGTGACAAGTGTGGGGTACAGCAGGTCGGGTCTGAGAACAAAAAATACTCGCCAGCGATGACATTGGTTGGTGTCAGTCGCGCTAAAATCACGAAGTGGTTGAAGTTAGAATTCATGAGATGGTCACTGAGTGGGATCCCAGTGGCTGAATGGTCTATGAGCTGTCTAGCCTTGTAACCGGGATGGTCCTGGGTGGGTGCGTACTGATGAAAAGTCCCAAACTAAGCTTGACGAAACAGCTGGTTGTCTAGCGTTCCCAGCTAGTTTTCCAGTGGTTCTCTAACAGATGCTATCTCATGATGAAATCCTGTAACAAAACTGTTGTATATGATGTAGTTGTGTTCTTTGAACTGAATGGTTTATAGTTGCGAAGCTTTCATTGCCCCCTAATAGGCAACATCTTCAGTGCATACAGACATCAATTTGATGAAGTGAGCTTTTTGATTCTCCCATAAGTGGTTATAAGTCATCTCTCCTGGTAGGTGGTGACCTTAAACGTCGTGATTAGATGTTTTTGTGTGTTTTCACACACTCTAGTCTGCTACTTGTATTGGTATTGTTTTTCGCGAATAGTACTACATTGGCCAAAGTGGACGCCCCATCTCTTCGTCTTCGTATCCATGAGCATAAACTAGCCGTTAAAAGACATGACATCCACTCCCCACACATATCACTCACTGCATACAGACAACCACGGACATCAATTCGACTGGGACAACGTTCAAATATTAGACAACAGGGGAAACACCAAGAATGCTAGAGAATTTTTAGAAGCCTGTCTGGTATTCCAGTGAATCGTCAGTCAGTAGACACATTGACATAGACAAAATGTATCAACCGATAAGAAGGAAATCTCATACACAAAGGGTCAAACAATCAACACCAATACAAGTAGACTAGAGGGTATGAAAATAGACAAAGGCAACCAATCACGTTCAAGGTCAGCCACCAGGAGAGATGACTAATAAACTCGTGGAGAAATCTAAAAGTTCTCTTCCTCGAATTGAAATGTGTATGCGTTGAAGATGTTGCCTAGTGGAGCAACTGTAAACCATCCAGCTATTTCAGAGAACATAACTACATCAAAATCATCCACGTGAGCTGCAAATCTTCTCCATTATATTCATTAATATATATAACACAAAATAATTGAACAAAGAATATCCTTTTCGATAATTTCCTCTTCTGGCTCTACAATTATATATACATATGTCTATATACATAGAATATTCTAGAATAGTAGTCAATAACAATATTACTGTTTTTTTTAGAATAATATAGATTTGTATCTTCCTTATTCACCACTGTACCACTTATGGGAACAGTGAACTTTGCATGCGAAGAACTCATAAGACGAAACATCGATGTTGGCATTCTTATATCTTTTATGAAAGAGCCTCTCTTGAAATGCACAATGAATGTCCACTTTTTATTTAATAAGGAACTATATAGACAAATCGAGGGTGTGGCAATGGGGACCCATTCTAGCCGACATTTTCCTTGCAAAACTAGAAAATGGGCTTTTGAAGGATTTTATTGATGAACTTGAATTCTACTGTCGGTACATGGATGATTTGATTTTTGATTGTGAAAAATGAGAAGGAAGCAAAGAACATCCTGGATAAATTTGACGAGGTTCATCCTGCAATAAATTTTACTATTGACAAAGAAAAAGACTAATATTTCATTTCTAAACGCCCTTATGAACAGAAAAGAGGATGTTACAATAAGAAGAAGTGTATATAGACAACCTACATCAACTGACTGTCAGTATACTCATTTTTCAGTTTCGTGCCCTTGAAATACAAACGCATTCTGATGAAGTGCTTAGTTCATAGAGCAGGAGCAATCTGCTCAGATGAATGTCTTGATGAGGAACTTAATAATATTAAATGGTTGCTGAGTGAAAATGGTTATCCAGAGAAGTTTATTGATAAGAATATGAATCTAAAAGCAAAGCAGCCTAAGGAACGAACAGCTCTTAAAAAGGCCGTATTCTTACAAATTCAGTTCCTCAGGGATAACATCAGCAAGATACTAACACAACGACTTAGAAATGCGGTAAAAAGAGCATTCTCTGCTGCTGAATTACACTGTATCTTCAAAACCACCCCTATTTTGCATTCGGGAGTTAAAGATAAACTGTTTAATTTCGCCTCTTCCATATGGATCTAACAATTTAACTGCTCCTGTGGAGCCAGTTACACAGGCCGTACAATTAGGCGTGTTTCTGGTCGAATTTCCGAACATCATCCTACATGATGATTAAATAAAGGGCAAACAAAATCCATTCATGGCTCTATTCTATCTCATCTTCTGGACGCAAAACACATTATTGATGTTAACGAGGCGACTTTCAAAGTCGTTTACCGCATACCAACAAATCTTAACTTTGCCTTAAGAGTTCGTCTTCTACATATTGCTGAGGCTGGCCATTGGGTTCCACATTAAGAAGTCTAATTTATGTGTCCCGAAGAAGATAGTGCAGACATTATCCTTACCTTGGTCATCTAGGTTAGAATGATCCTTAATTTTTGTAGAAATTTCCTAATTTTTATTTGATATTCTATTTGCTATTATATTTTTATTATTATTATAATTTAAGCACCTTTAACGAACTGTAATTCCATTGTGGTCTTACTTTACAAATCGATATTATTTTGAAAAAAAAACACTAATATTCTTATTGACTACTGTCAAGGAACTTAGCCCTAAGTTCCTATCGTAATGAAGACTTAAGCGATTGAGCCGATAAATACTATGCGCTTTCTTCAACTTTAAATCCAAAACACCAGTATTCCTTGAACGAAATTATATTGTTTGGCAATTAAATTGAAGAAAACTACAAATTCTGCAAACAAATGTTAAGTACAAATGAAGTTATAAAGTACTTTTATTCGTATTTAAATCCAGTCTTCCCTCAACTTGCAAGCGATCGTTCCATTCGCGCCTTCAATTGCCCGCCAATGGTTGCCAGTTCCAATAAAACAAACGTTCAATGTTCACTTCCATTGACAACTACTATTCTAGAATATTCTATGTATATAAACATATGTATATATAATTGTAGAGCAAGAAGAGGAGGAAAAATGATGGAAAAGGATATTCTTTGCTCAATTATTTTGTTTTCTTTTCTAGATGTCTAAATGAATATGTATACATATCCTTCCTTACTTTCCAAATTGTTTCTTTTAGGTCCATTATATTCTTGGTTAATCCCCTGCTCGTATATATTCAAACCGTATCCAAAACAATATACCACTGTATCAAGTATTATACACAATGTAAATTGTTCTGATTCTGTTGTCAATTCATCAAATGATAATGAAAAGAAGATGAAGAATAGATCAAACTATACTACTGCTGATGGTGATGATGATGACAACGGCTCACCACAAACTCATTTAATCAATAATAACAATAACAATACTCATCAGTATCATCAATATCCTACAAATGTCTACAATGAGCAACATTCATTTGCCACAATTGAAACTGACAGTTCTTCAGCGAGTTATTGATTTATTTTCTTCTTTATTTTTTTGGTTTGCTGTTATTATGATGACAACATCCGGTTTGTGAATGATGGTGTGTATAGAAGAAGAGATGTATGTGTGTGAGATGAGTGTTGGTGATAGTCGGCAATCTGTCGTCAGCGTCTTCTTTGAATCAAATCTATCATCTATCTATCTGTATCTGTGTATGGTGTGAAGTTCCCTTGCCAATTTGCATGTATAGAGCTACATATAGACACGCGAAATGTTCTTATTATGCTGTGAGCGTCATTCACTCGTATTCTCCTTTTTTTCTCGTCTTTCGTATGCCTTTTTTCTTGTATAAAAATGGCCTTTTCTTTTTTCTAAAAAAGAAAGACATGCGCAGAAGAAGCGTGGAAGTGTAAGTGTACAAAATGGAAGTGCTGTTAAAACAATTCTTCACCGCTTCGCGCCCCCACCACAACCACTTTTTCTCCTGATAAATTTGAGATTATTCACTTTTATATACTACTTATATATAACACTACTGATTATTTGTAAATTCTTTGCGCGATTATGTGTGTTCACATATCGGTTATTATTAATGGCTGGGGTAACACCCTGTTTTTTGGATCCCCTCGATCTGTTTATTTGTGTCTTTATTATGTCGATAACAGGGTTTTCTGATGAGTGTTGTCTTTAGAGAGATGGGTTGTAGTGCCACAGTGTTTGTGTGTATATATGCTGGGAATGACTGCTGAGGGAGGATAAATTTCATCTTCGTACACACTTATTCTGAGTACTGTTCATTGTCTGTGCTCCTCCTCCTTTTGCTTGCTTAATTTTTTTTCAGTTTGTATTGTCGTATGTTTTTCGAATTTCAACTCTATCGAGAACACTTCATCTTTGCCGTCAGACAGCACTCTGAACCGCCAGCTAGCTAGCTAGCTGGTTTCGTCCTTGTTTGGGATCTTCAACCTTCAATTCCTCGATGGGATCCCAGTCCTAGGACAAAACAGCTAGTTAACTAGCTCACTAGCTAACTAACTGTTCGGTGCCCTCTGGCTCTCTAACACACTGTTGTCAGTTCGTGACACGAAACCCAGCAACTGATATGTATTCAGATCCTGACAAAAGCCTATTATTATTACTATTACTATTATTTGACTCTTTGATATAATATTAATAAAATTACATTGATGCAATAGAAAAATCCCCTTAATGACTTTAATAATGAAGATTATTCACATAAATATGTATACTCCTATTTATTTCTTTTGTTTTCTTGACAAAGTTTAATTTGATTTTTGTATTTTTTTTTCTGATTTCGCCTTGACTTGACTTGATTTGCTTATCGCTTTACTTTGATTTTTCAACCTACTTTTTTGAGGGGGCAGACGTGTGTGTATATGTGAAGACTATGTCGGACTACGACTGGGCTGTTATTCCCTTCCATGTAGGGTAATCATGTTTTGTTTTGCCTTGCGTGCCCCCCCGCCGGTTTCCCTCTCATTCTTTTCATGTGCGCGCAAGCGTGTGTGTATCCTTTAATTTATTGATCATTGTGAATACTATTACCTTAACAAGGAGATATCAAATCATGCTGATCACTGTTGTACACGTATGGATATTGTGATATTATTTATTATTTTTATCACTAATTATGATGATGATAATAATTATTAAAAATAATAATATAAAAAGTGCTAACTTCACTATGAAAGAATGTTCATCACTTTTTCTTTTCTCTCCGTATTATGAGTGTGTGTGTGTGTTGTGTTGTGTTTGTGTAGGCTTGCTGATATTTAATTTTGTCTCGTTTGGTTCTATTGTAAGATTTACTGGTAAACTCCTCAGCTCTCTATAGTGACTCAAACGAAAGACCTAAGTAGAACGGACATAGTGATGACCTTTATCAACCAATCAGGTGATGAGCCCTTAAGTAAAACCGCGGAAATATTATAGATGCAAATTCCATCAAGAGGTAGGCATTTGAGTGGTGTCGGGATATTATCCCTTATAGAAGGAAGATTATAGATGTGGGGAGGGGTAGTGTCTTTACTGAGGTATATGCAGCAGCTGTTGATGCATATGTATGTACAGGTAGATGTCCTCCAGACTATCGTTACAGAGAAATCTGTCTGAGAAGAAATATCATTCCTTCCTTAGGTTTATGCGTTCTGTAGAACAGTGAGTGAGTCATGAGACGACAGCATGATATCTGGATTAATTTATGTACCGAAATAGGCGCTTAGACTATCTCTGAAAACTCCAACAAGGAATTGGGAGGTTTTCTTGGGATATATACGTAAAACTTATCCCGTATAACTATTTCTTTTTAACACTAACTTTGATTTCTGTAAGAGAGGTTTTAAATTACGTGTATTTGTCATGAGCTGATCTGATTGCTTGATCAAGGTCAATACGTCGCTATAATTTGCAGTTACCGATTTATTCACCTATAAAGAGAGGAAGAATAGAATAGATTGGTTCATTGTTTTTTTTCTAGATTCTAATAAGATATCGGTGACACGTTTTGTCGTATCCCAAGCTGCTCATTTCCTTCCTCAACGAGCATTGTTAGCCGACTATGTAGGGTTAGGTTTGGAAAAGAGTTACTCTATTTTTGATTGGACACTAGTCAGTAACCAGTGTAATGTGTCCAGTTTTATCTTTGTTGCAGACTGAATTCTATCAGTCATGTTTGCAATATGGCCACCATCCTAGGTGGCTCGCCATTACGGTGCACTGTGAATTGTTGGTATTAGATGGTTGGAGGCAATCGGCAGGAAGCCTTGCGTGACCTAGGTTTCGTGCTAGTTGGCACTTTTTATTGTTATTATTATTATTCCCTTGGGTTCTGAGTGGAACATAGGATTTCAGCAACACATCTCCTCGCTACGTGATTCCCTCCATGTCACCCTTTCACTGACGAACCACTCATCGCTTCCCATTGGGATTTCACTTGAGCAATCACCTTCCTCGCGATGTCATTCGACGGCCTCCTCAAAGTATGCTCGATTGATCTCCATTTTCTCTTACATATTTGTTAAGCAATCGGATCTTGCTTGTTGGTTGTTGTTCTCAGCCAGAGTTTCTTGTTGCTAATTCTTTCTGACCGGCCGACTGTTTATTTGATCTTCAGTATGGAGTCAGCCAGTGAATTGGGCAGCTCTTGATAAATGTCTTCAGTAGCTCATTGGAAATCCTTTTCGTGACACGCAGTACACAAGAACCGACTGACTGACTTGACATTTCTGTTGAACAGAATCCGAATCTTGTTGTTTATGCTGGCTGAGTGAGTGAAGCAGAAGATTTCCAAACTGGTTTCAGGTTGATGAAGACGTATCTTGCCTTTCCGAGTCTTGCTGGCCTACTTTGACACCTTCATCCGTGCCGTGTACCTGTGGTTGAAACGATGCTTCCTAGATAAGTGAAGGAGGTGATCTCTTTCAAATTTCTCCAGTTTATCTGTCTGTTTTCGACATAGAACTACTTTGCACTGATGTGCAGCAGTTCAAGTCGCCACACTCCATGTAGCTCACAGAGCAAGAGAAGAAAGTAGAAGAAATGCAAAATAGAGACAGTAGATAGGGATACGAGACAAAAGGAATAGTAATATCGAAGAACAATATAGTTTCATTGGAAATTATAAGTCACAAGGAGTAAAAGCATCTGCGCCAGCCATTGACAAAGATTTTAAGCCATATCACCAATTGTTTCCAACCATTGGTTTTTACCGTCTCGAGGACCCCAACCAGGAAGTCTACACCTTCCTACGTGGCTTAGACTGACTGTTGTAGATTTCATTGACTGATGCTATGTTTTCGTTTGACCGCCGCTAGCTCTTTCTCCAGTTGTTAGTGATTGGTGCTGGTCGTTGTTGTTGTTGTTATTGGTCGGTCAAAGCAAAACATGGCAGCAGTCTGCTGGTGGCCTCAGCCATATAAGGAGGTGTAGAATGTGCTTCTAGCTGGTTGGGGGGGACCTTAGGATGTGGTGGTAAGAACTAATTTTTTGAAACTATTGGTGATATGGCTCGAAATGGTTCTCTCACTGGTGTAGATGCATTCACTCTCCATGTTGTCTGCCATATTCATTCGACTGTGATTTTTTTCCTAGTAAGTGTTATGTCTTACTCCATCCTTATAGTTCTGTCAGGATCGACTTATGATTGACGCATGCAATGACATAATAACCTGATTGGACAATTTTTCATTGACTTTAGAGGGTTTCAAGGTCACACAACCTACCAGATATTGATTATCTCCTTATAGTTTAAATTTCCGTTGATTCGAAAAACAGGATATATACTCTATATTGTGAATGATACGAGTTGTCGTTTTTGTTGTCGAGGTTTTGCAGTTAAGTTTGACTTTTATGTGTGGGGGAATATTTTCAGGCGACACTAGTTGTCTATAGTGTTGTATCTGAAGGTGTATTGTGGTCAAGATAGAAAAAAACCCAACAAAATCACTAACTCCGTTAAAAAACAAGTTGTTTTGAATCTCTCTTTTCTCTACCTTTGTGTGTTACATGTGGAGTGTAGCAATTTCGCATATGCTAGTTGACACCGTCTCTGGCTTAGTAGACGTGATATCTGGCTGGCTGGCTATCGATCAAGTGGCGTGTGTACTGCCCAGCAGTCCGCTCCGTCATGCTTAATGGCTGTGATACGTTACCATTGAGTGTGGAAAACACTAAAAGACAGGCTAGGTAGCTGTCTTTGATCATAGATGCCTTCGTTCTATCTCTCGTGTTAAGTGGTGTAATAGGGTGAGCAATACTGAGGTAGGTAGGTGGGAGGGGAAGTTGGTCAACGAAGTTGTGAAGTTACATCGATTGATAGAGGTGGTTAGGACATGTGTTACTCATGCATCCCCAGCTATCGATCGCCTTCTTCGATAAGGCGCACTGTTAGCCAACATAGGATCTGGTTGGTAAAGAGCCAGTGTTGGTCAGACCAAGATACGGCTTCATCAGTCAATGAAATCCACAACAGTTAGTTTAAGCCAGACAGCCACGTAGGGAGATGTAGAATTCCTGATTGGGGTACTCGGGACGGTGATATGACTCAAAATCGTTGTCAATGGCTGGTGCAGATGCTTTTACTCCTTGTGACTTATAATTTCCAATGAAACTATATTGTTCTTCGATATTACTATTGTTTTTGCCCAATATCTCTGTTTACTGTCTCTATTTTGGATTGCGTTTTATTTTTTTCTCTTGCTTTGTGTGCTAAATGGAGGGAATGTGGCAACTTGAACTGCTGCACATCAGTGCAAAGTAGTATTATGTTGAAACCAGTCAGTCAGTCATGAGTGTATCAGCTTGA